ACCACCACACCGCAGACCACGACCTCTCTGTGTGAGGATCTAAACGTATTCTATGCCAGATTCGACACAGCGAACACCATGAGACCGGACAGTGAGCGCACCGCGGATGACGTCAGTGCGCACACTGTGTCTGAAGAGGATGTGCGGAGGTGCTTCAGGAGGGTGAACGCACGCAAAGCAACTGGTCCGGACGGGATTCCCGGCCGCGTCCTCTGGTCATGCGCGGCTCAGCTGGCTGGAGTGTTTACACACATCTTCAACCTTTCCCTCTCTCTGTCTGTAGTCCCAGCCTGCTTCAAAATGGCCACCATTGTCCCTGTACCCAAATCCTCCGCCATCTCCTCATTGAATGACTGGCGACCTGTAGCCCTGACCCCCATCGTGAGCAAATGCTTCGAGAAGTTGGTCAGGGACTTCATCTGCTCTGCACTGCCCGATTCACTGGACCCTCTACAGTTTGCATACCGCCACAACAGGTCCACTGATGATGCCATAGCCCTGACACTCCATGCTGCCCTGTCACACCTGGAGAAGAGAGACACGTATGTGAGAATGCTGTTTGTAGATTACAGCTCAGCATTCAACATCATCGTTCCATCGAAGCTGGACAGGAAACTGCAGGATCTAGGACTGAGCAGCTCCCTCTGCAGCTGGATCCTGAACTTTCTGTCTGACAGACGCCAGGTGGTCAGACTAGGCAGCACCTCCTCATCCCCCGTCACACTGAACACTGGTGCTCCGCAGGGGTGTGTGCTGAGCCCTCTCCTGTACTCACTCTACACCTACGACTGCACGGCCACGAGAAACTCCATCATCATTGTGAAGTATGCGGACGACACCACAGTGGTGGGTCTCATCACCAACGACGATGAGACGGCCTACAGGGAGGAGATCAGCGCCCTGACCCACTGGTGTCAGGACAACCATCTCACCCTCAACGTCACAAAGACAAAGGAGATGATAATGGACTTCCGGAGGTGCAGAGGAATACACAACCCCATCACCATCAACGGCGACGCTGTGGAGAGGGTGAGCAGCTTCCGTTTCCTTGGAGTTCATCTGGCAGAGGATCTTACGTGGTCAGTGCACACGAACAATACAGTGAAGAAGGCACAGCAGCGCCTCTTCTTTCTCAGGAGACTGAAAAGACTTGGCATGAGCTGCCGCATCCTCAGGACCTTCTATCGCTGTGCCATTGAGAGCATCCTCACTGGATGCATCACCACCTGGTATGGAAACAGCACCGCTTACAACCGCAAAGCTCTCCAGAGAGTAGTGCGGTGTGCTGAAAGGATTATAGGAGGTGAGCTTCCCTCCCTCCAGGACATCTACAGGAAGCGGTGCCTGAGGAAAGCAGGGAGGATCATCAAGGACTCAAGTCACCCCAGCCATAAACTGTTCAGACTACTTCCATCAGGAAGGAGGTTCTGCCGCATCCGGTCCAGAACCAGCAGACTGAGAGACAGCTTTTTCCATCAGGCCATCAGACTGCTGAACACTTCGCAGACACCTCACCCTCACTGCTGAAACTCCAACATTACACGCTCCATACTGTACATTAATGCCACTGTTTAGCACATACCAACCTCTGTACATTTTATATCTCTTACTTTATTGTTTACTTTATTCATTTGTTAAATATGTATATACGCATTATACACACACTCACACGCACTCACGTAGAAAAATAAATAAATAAAATACTAGCACACACATTTAGGAATGTATATACCTTACATACTACACACATTATTACTTAGATTAGCCATTTTTATATTTTGCTTGTTTTTACATTATTGTATTTTTGCACAACTCTGTTGCTGTGAAGCTCGCACACAAGAATTTCACTTGCATGTACTGTACCAGTGTACCTGCACATGTGACGTGACAATAAAAGTGATTTGATTTGATTTGATTGGAAGTATCTGGTTTCTGTCAGTTCAAATGTCAGAGCTGTTGATGAAAATTTGAGAGCATTTCCTCCTGATGATTAGCTCTTGCATCTGGCACAGAATCCTCCTCACTCATGTCTTGTTGTGTCTCTGTTTGGGAGAGACAGAACAACTCTGTCCTTCACGGGATTGTATGGGAGTTTCCTCAGATTTCAGGATTCACTAGAAAACAAACTTTCAAACGTTGTAAAGTTGAAGATTTATCATTTAGTTTCACTTTGGGCACAGAGAAGTTTTTAATTCAGAGAAAAAACGATGGACACTTTCTCTGTCCAGATGAAAGGTATCTAAGAGTTGGACATTTTCTAAAGAAACAGGGAGGAGCTGTAATCCGGAATCAGGTGAGTTTACAGCATTTGTTATCACAGAGACAGCAACAAATAGATTATTATTACCTGTTACCATGGAGACAGACACTGACAAGTTCACAGCATCTAGTACCATAAAGAGAAAGACAAATTAGTTTACAGCATATGTAGTAAATTAGTAAGTAGATTTTATTTATATAGCACTTGTCACAGACATAGAATCACAAAGTGTTTCACATAGATCATAACAAAAATGACAAAAGTCATAAAATCATAATGACCTCAAAACAGAATCAGATTAACATTAGAAAAAGCTAAAGTCATAAAATTATACAATTTCATAAACAGATGAAAGATTACAAATTTGAGTTAAAAATAAGAAAATAAAACGTTTAGGTAAAAGCAGCTGTTTTTTAAAAAGTGTCTAACTGTCAACGCTACATAAGGATAAAGGAAGATCATTCCAGAGTCGGGGTGCAACAGTCTGGAAGGAGACCACCTCGACTTTTGTATCTGGTCTTTGGAACTTCTAGAAGGTTCTGGTGTGTGGACCTGAGGGCTCGGGTTGGAGCATAAAGCCTGATTTATGCTTCTCCGTCTGCGTCAGTGCGGAGACACGCAACGCCATTATCCGTCCTTGCGTAGGGCTCCGGCAGGCACGCAAGTACGTACGGAGTCGAGCCCACTTTTTTAAACATCCGTCGAACGAGACGGATTACGCAAGCTCGTGATTGGTCAGGACGCCGCTGTTGTTTACAGCGCCGCCATTGCAAAGAGAGCCGAGGATAACTAGCGGCAGACACGGAGAAGCTTGAAGAATACCTCGCGAAAAAACTCTAAAAATATGAACGTTTTATCCTCCCGTGACTGGAGGAGTGAAAAGATGCACAGCAAGCATTTTATTTGTGGACGGAAATGACAGGAAACGTGGGTTTATATATAAACACACGATCTTGGACCGATACATGACAGGATACCACAGAACAGTGCTACGCCCTCTGTTGTCCTGCCGGGCAATTGCTTTGCAACACTCTCCAGGAGACGAAGAAGTAAAAGAGCAAAACGCTTCCGTCAATCCGTGCGTGTCTGTCCCTTGCAGAGCTGATGGAGAAGCATAAACCAGGCTCTAGGCTTTAACAGGTCAGTAATATAGGGAGGAGCTTGACCGTGTAGAGCAGGTAAAGTTATAGTCAGGAGTCTAAAGTGACCTCTAAAGTTAATGGGTAACCAGTGCAGAGACGCCAGAATAGGAGTGATGTGTGCTCTTCTGTTTGTCTGTATGTCACCATGGAGACAGAGACAGGCTGATTTAAAGCACCTGTTACCATGGAGACAGAGACAAACTGATTTAAAGCACCTGTTACCATGGAGACAGAGACAGGCAGATTTACAGCATATGTCACCATGGAGACAGAGACAGGCAGATTTACAGCATATGTCACCATGGAGACAGAGACAGGCTGATTTAAAGCACCTGTTACCATGGAGACAGAGACAGGCTGATTTAAAGCACCTGTTACCATGGAGACAGAGACAGGCAGATTTACAGCATATGTCACCATGGAGACAGAGACAGGCAGATTTAAAGCACCTGTTACCATGAAGACAGAGACAGGCTGATTTAAAGCACCTGTTACCATGGAGACAGAGACGGGCAGATTTAAAGCATATGTCACCATGGAGACAGAGACAGGCAGATTTACAGCATATGTCACCATGGAAACAGAGACAGGCTGATTTACAGCATATGTCACCATGGAGACAGAGACAGGCAGATTTAAAGCACCTGTTACCATGGAGACAGAGACAGGCTGATTTAAAGCACCTGTCACCATGGAGACAGAGACAGGCAGATTTACAGCATATGTCACCATGGAAACAGAGACAGGCTGATTTACAGCATATGTCACCATGGAGACAGAGACAGGCAGATTTACAGCATATGTCACCATGGAGACAGAGATAGGTAGATTTAAAGCACCTGTTACCATGGAGACAGATATGGGTTTATTTAAAGCACCTGTTACCATGGAAACAGAGACGGGTAGATTTAAAGCACCTGTTACCATGGAGACAGAGACAGGCAGATTTACAGAATTTTTCACCATGGAGACAGATACAGGCAGATTTACAGCATATGTCACCATGGAGACAGATACAGGCAGATTTACAGCATATGTCACCATGGAGACAGAGACAGGCAGATTTACAGCATATATCACCATGGAGACAGAGATGGGTAGATTTAAAGCACATGTTACCATGGAGACAGAGACAGGCAGATTTACAGCATATGTCACCATGGAGACAGATTTAAAGCACCTGTTACCATGGAGACAGAGACAGGCCGATTTACAGCATATGTCACCATGGAGACAGAGACAGGCTGATTTACTGCATATGTCACCATGGAGACAGAGACAGGCTGATTTACGGCACCTGTTACCATGGAGACAGAGATGGGTAGATTTAAAGCACCTGTTACCATGGAGACAGAGACAGAACAATTTAAATCATGTTACCACAGAGACATATTTATGACTTCTGAGTCCAGCAAATTTTAAGTTTAGTTAAGAAAATCGTGGAACTTTTTCTCTTTTATTTTCTGCTTTTCATTTTGTTATTTCCTCTAAAACATCTGATGATTCAGTTAAAGGCTGTGTGTACAGGTGAGAGATGTGAGCAATCACACCTGCTCTCATCCTGTTTCTGACTTGGTTGTTGTTTTTTCTGTGTTCAGGGTTTAAAGTCGATGGACTTCAATGGATTATCTGATCCCTATGTCAAACTTCACCTGCTGCCAGGAGCCAGTAAGGTGAGAGACACTCAGATGATACCATCCTTCTACTGAAGGACACCCCAATTTACAATTAATTCAGTACAAAATTCTACACAGAGTACACTATACAGGTCATTGGATGTTCAAGATGGGGTTTGTGTCGTCTGACACATGTACCACTGCACAAACAACATTCCTGACAATTATATTCATGCACTGTGGTCCTGCCCACCTGTCCAGGAATTTTGGGGTAGAGTATGTGAGGATCTGTCAAAATGTCTGAAATGTCATATCCCAACTTCCCCCTCTCTTTGTTTACTGGGAAAGCTGGACGATGTCCCGATTGCAACATCTTTGGTTCACGTGGTTCTGACTGCCATGTGCATCGCTAAGAAAACTATCCTCTTGAATTGGAAAAATAGAGAAACTCTCTGCATTAACCAGTATAGAAATGTTTTGTTAGATCATATTGCACTTGATATAGCCTCTGCTTCCACTTCAGATGAATCTCTCTGGGCTCCTTTGATCGGTTCCATCACATAGCGAGGGTGGGGAGCCGTTGATGTTGTCCTGCGGGATGGTGTGGGGTCTGAGTTTGGAGTATCCGGATGTTCCCTGGAGGTGGGTTCACTGGGGGTGTCTGGGACTGGGGGGCCGTTGCCCCCCTCTGGAGGTGCTTGGGTTGCCTCGGGGGGTGGACTGCTGGCGGTTGTGAGTGGGGCCCCTTGGGGATCTTGGCGGCGGCCATGGGTCACTGCCTGGCGGCTGCAATACCCCTGGGTGGGTCTGGGTGGGGGCCTGGGGGCTCGGGGTTTGGGGGTGGCCGGCCCCGTGTGGGCATCTGGGTGGGGCCTTGGGGGTCGGGTCCTGACATGTATGCTGCCGGGAAGAAGGCAGGAACACGCAGCAGTGCCTGGCCCGGGTTCGGGGGCATCAGGTAGACCTTGGCTCCTCTGCCGTTCCATCACAGGGGAGGGGGAGGTCCAGGAGGGGGAGGACCAAACCTTACCTGGATGTCCCATGTCTTATATATTCTGGAAGTTGTGCAAATGCAGGGGTGGGCATAGATATTCTGCTGGGATGGGGCTGGGTTGGTGCCCTCAAACCAAGTGAGGCTCTGTAATGCTGCTGCTTTGGGCCCTGGCAGGATGGGCTGGGGTCTCCATGCCCTGGGTGGCAGTTTGACAACAGAGGTGCCTATTGGGGCCAGTAGGGGAGCTGGCTCCCTGGAGGGCTAAGTCCAACCAGCCATTCCTCCCCATCCCCGCATATTTCTCTCCTCCTGCTCCCTCACATCATCACACAAACATACACATAGGACCTTGGGGGGTGGGCAAGTCAGGGAGTGCGGGTATGGACCCCATTTCCGCATTCCTGTGGCAACCTGCCCCCCAATTTTATTTGCACCTTATACACTTCCACTGACGACATTCCACACAAACACACACTTAGGGCCTTGGGAGTGAGCACATTCAACGGCATTTGGCAGGGGGATATTTCAGCCTCCTCCCGAGTGCCGGTGCCCACTTCCAATTTTAAACCGCACTTAGACACTGATGGATGAGGGTGTAAATGGGGTGGTGCGGTGGCATCAGCTGGCATATGCCGGATGATGCCCGCACTGCCCACTCACCACAGCCATGGAATACACCTCATGATCACACAACACTATATTGGAGCAGGCTGAGGGAGACTAGGGGTCTTAGCCACCTCTGTTGTTGCTAGGCCTCCTGGGGCTGGAGGCTAGGAGGGAGATCTGGCCGTCTGGTTGGGGTCTGGGGTGGTGGGTTGCTGTGCTCAGCGTTGGGCGGGGGAGCCTGCTCATCAGCACCCCAGCAGAAAGGGTCAAACTCTGGTTACCGGTGATGGTTGTACCCCATGTGCAGCAGTACCGGGACCAGAGTTAATAGGGTGTGTATGGTGAGCATATGAGTGAGTGTCCGGCGTGCATTTTTGTAAGTCTTGGGTTGTATGTGCATGTGTGAGCATGAGGGAGGGAGTGTGTGACTGTGTTTGTGTATGACTGTATATGTCAGGTGGGGCCTTTGGGTCCTCCCCTCTCCTGGAACTTCTCTTGATGATATAGATCTTTGTCCCCCCTCCCCCTGCCACACCTGGTGTGAGGGGTTGTGCCATGGTCTGCCTGAGTGTTCGTGGCAACCGGGTCTGGGGGTTTAAGATTTTGGCATCTGCCTGATAGATCCCGGTGGCTGCCTGGTGGGGTCTGGGTCCCTGGGCTCTGCTGGGTCCCCGGCGGGGGTGGTCGCCCCTGGGTCCCGGGTCGCTGGGTCCCGGGCTCGGCCGGCTAGGGGGTGGGAGGCTGCGGACGGGCCTGTGGGCTTGCCGCTGATATCTCCAGGGACTCTGCCGGCTGCTGGTTGTGCCCCCCCGGGGAGATCCTCTGTGCCTCTCGAGGGGGGCGGGGGCCTTTCTGGTTTCAGTCTCCTTGGGGTTCCTGCATTCTGGGGCAACGCCTGGATCTCTGGGACTTGGAGCTCCCCCCGTCTCCTGCGCATCTTTGGGGGGCAGATCTGTGGTGCCTCACACTCTCTGTTGGACGCTCCTATAGAGAAACCTTACATAAACAAGTGCGTGTACACACACAGGTGTTCACATGGTGCTCTCAAAAGTATGGGCTTGGGAACGTTAGACACAGGTCTTAAGACTATGGGGGGCACTTAATGCATTGTGATTTATTATCGTGATTCTTCAGTTAAGCAATGTTGATTATATATATATATATATATATATATTGTTTTTTTGTTTTTTTTTTCATCAAGTTGACGCAGTGATAGGTAGATCTTGTTGTATTGTTGTTGTGTCCCTTTTTTGTGTCCTTTTTTTTTTTTTTTTTTGTCTTTTTCTGCAGGTCTAGAAGCAGACTCTTGTTCATTGTTTATTTTTGTGGACCCCCCCCCCCCCCCCCCTCCTCTCTCTCCACCTTTTCTCTTCCTTTCTCTTTCACCTCTGTCTCCGTGTCTGGTCAGAATTACAAAGCATTCAACAGCAATAACAATAAAGTTTTAAGTATCAGGCGTGACATTAAAAGCAGATGCTTTGATGCTCCACCTGAGAATAAATCTGTAAGGCTTGTCACCAGCATTCAGACATCAATTCTGCTTGCTTCACAGCCAGACAGGACACGGTAAAAAAAATAAATAAAAAAATAAAAAAAAAGAAGTTAGGATTAAACTTTGGATCCAAACAGCTGTGGGAGAACTCCACCCTGATCAAATATTGTACGTGTGCTTTGATGCATTTTGTTTATTTCAGCTGATTCCCTAATCAGCAGAAACAATTTTTAACCTCCCATTGTTGTGTAGAGAACCTAAACCAGGATGGACTCATTCTGGATCACACGGATTCTTCTTTAAAGTAAAAAACAGAAATATGAATTAATCACTTGTATGAATGAAATGTCTGAGTCTTTAACTTGGGTGAATTTCTCAGAAGCCAGGAGAAACATTTCATGAGAAAATCAATAAAACCTTAAATGTGGAAGGTTAAATGAGACACTATTCCAGTGGAATCTGCTTCCCGGTTTAACCTGAAGTTCATGGTGTCATTGGTCCAGATGAACCTGTTTGTTTTTCAGGCCAACAAACTAAAAACAAAAACAATCCGAAACTCTCTGAATCCTGTCTGGAACGAAACGCTCACGTACGTCGGAATCACGGAAGAAGACATGAGCAGGAAGACACTCAGGTGTGTGTGTGTGTCCGTGTGTGTCCGTGTGTATGTGTGTGTGTGTCCGTGTGTGTGTGTGTCCGTGTGTGTGTCCATGTGTGTGTGTCTGTCCGTGTGTGTGTGTGTGTGTGTGTGTGCGCTCGTGTGTGTGTCCGTGTGTGTGTGTGTGTGTGTCCGTGTATGTGTGTGTGTGTGTGTGTCCGTGTGTGTGTGTCCGTGTGTGTGTGTGTGTGTGTGTGTGTGTGTGTGTGTGTGTGTGTGTGTGTGTGTGTGTGTGTGTGTGTGTGTGTGTGTGTGTGTGTGTGTGTGTGTGTGTGTGTGTGTGTGTGTGTGTGTGTTTAATGATCAATTCTATGGAGCCTCTTTGATCAACCAATGCCGCTGTGTGATTCCAGGAGTCTGAGAGAAAAGCAACAGAAAGTGTGTTTGTTGACGGACGTCTGCTGCACCGTGACTGTTGTTCTTCTCTCCTTGAATTGAAATCACTATAAATTCTAATCTTTCTGAAGTTTAGATGTTTGTGAATCATTTCACCTAAAAAGAAATGTAACTATTTGCCTTGTTTTTGTCTTTTTTAGTCATTTTCCTTCATGTTTTATGGTTTCCTGTTACTAAACGTTTGTCAGGTGCTTGTCTCATCCCGATTTCATCACCGGTCGTTCTTTGTTTTCTTTCTACTCCTGCCATCTTCCCTTTAGTTTCCTGTCATTTTGTCTCAGTTTTCTCTTTCACTTCACTTTGTTGTTCCTGCTCTGTCTTCATTTCCTTTCTTTTTGCCGTTGTATTTCTTTCTCCTGACGACTTCCTCTATTCTTCTATTTTCTGCTCTGCATCATAAACATCTTACTTCTGCCATTCTTCTTATGTTGGTTCTCGACTCGTGTCTCTTTCCTTTCCTGGTTGTTCTCTTGCCGTACTCGTTTCCTCTCCTGACTCCTCTGTTGTCTCCTTCAGGTTGACCGTCTGTGATGAAGACAAGCTGACTCATAATGAGTTAATTGGAGAATCCCGGGTTCCTCTGAAACGGGTCAAACTAAACCAGACAAAACACTTCCGCACCTGCTTGGAGCACCCGCCCCCGGTAACTAAAACACGGTTTAAGCTCCTGATCCAGTCCAGCTCTCTGGTCCTGAACTCTTGTATCTGACCAGCCTTTCTCGTGAACCCTTTCATCAATTACAAGATGGCTCTGAATCATGACCCAGGATCCACTGATCCTGCTCTTAAAACTCTGACTCATGTTTAAAACTGAAAGATGCTTCATGTCATTTCATCTCTGGTTTACTTGGTTCTGTCTGTCCTCCAGCTGCCCTCTCCCTCTGCCATGGGTGAAGCTCTCAGAGGAATCTCCTGCTACCTGAGAGAGGTAAACACCACCCGCCCACACACAGCCCACTCCCATCCCATCTGTCCGTCTGTAAGTGGAGGTCACAGAGTAAACACTCGTAAGTCTGACATGAAAACAGCTGAAGCAGCCTGAATAAAACATGGAAGATTTGATCAGACTCTGAATCAGAAGGGTTTCATTGCAGCAGCAGGAAATAGCTGCGGTACTTGGTGCATGAAGGAAGAAAAAAAAACAAGAGATGAGCAAAAATAAGAAGTAAGAATATAATCATGATAAAATAATAATATAAAGTGGCAATACTTAGAGAAATGGCTGCTATGTACAAGACAGTGTACTAATCAGAGTTCAGAGTTCAGGAACAACTGCAACACAGGGTCATGTGACTGGAACCCGGCGACTGGAGTGGGCAGTCGGATTGTCGTTCATGAGTCCGACCGCAGAGGCCAAGAAACTGTCATGGAGATAGTTTCTGGTCCTAATGGATCTGAGCTTCCTGCCAGATGGGAGCGAGTCAAAAAGACTGTGTCCAGGGTGAGACGGGTCATCTGTGATCAGACCTGCACGGTTCAGATGTATGACCCGGTTTGGTCCAAGCTTCAGCTGCTTGGGATTACACGTGATCATGTGTAGCATTCTGGGATGTGCGCAGCCGTACTGATGACCTTACGAGTGTAAACAAGCTGTGAAAACAAACAGTACGTCGCAGATGAGAAGCTGATTTTGTAGAGAGGAGGTGCTAAACAACATGTTGAAATCCCAGAGAGGATGCTGAATATACAGGGATCCGTTAAAGTCGGGGCCCGGTAGGTGGACACCAGCATTTTAACCGGTTTGAAATCATATGAAAGACCGAGGACTGGAGCACCGATGACAACTTATTGCTGCCACAGTTCTGCATGACTGACATTTCGGCCATCTTGTTTGTGGTGTGAGCGGATGTAAACGTCTGGATGAGAGGCAAACGTTCCATCTGCTGTTTGTTCCAGTAAAACAATAAAAAGAGTCATCCTATAGAAGTGTAGCAAATGTTGTGTGTGTGTGTGTGTGTGTGTGTGTGTGTGTGCGTGTATGTTGTGTGTGTCTGTGTCTGTGTGTGTGTGTGTGTGTGCGTGTGTGTTGTGTGTGTCTGTGTGTGTGTCTGTGTGTGCGTGTGTGCGTGTGTGTGTGTGTGTGTGTGTGTGCGTGTGTGTTGTGTGTGTGTGTGTGTGTGTTGCGTGTGTTGTGTGTGTGTGTGTGTGTGTGTGTGTGTGTGTGTGTGTGTGTGTGTGTGTGTGTGTGTGTGTGTGTGTGTGTGTGTGTTGTGTGTGTGTGTGTGTGTGTGTTGTGTGTGTGTGTGTGTGTGTGTGTGTGTGTGTGTGTGTGTGTGTGTGTGTGTGTGTGTGTGTGTTGTGTGTGTGTGTGTGTGTGTGTTGTGTGTGTGTGTGTGTGTGTGTGTGTGTGTGTGTGTGTGTGTGTGTGCGTGTGCGTGTGTGCGTGTGTGTGTGTCATGCTTGAAGAAAAGAAATGATGCCGTACACCATCTGCCAGAATAAAAAGTCTCTGGATGTTTGGTCGCCTCGTAGCTGCGCTCCAAGCGAGCCGATTAGACTTTATGTCAGAGACTTGGTCTCCGCGGGTTTGCCTCCAACTAGGAAAACGGTGAAAAGTTTTCCATCTTCATTCCCCTGGTGATTCCCCACAACACAGCAACGATTTATCATAGTTGTGTAATATGACCGATCAAATGAATAGTTGATCAAATTAAGCCACAAGAACACGACTGAGCGCGCTGTTGTCAGTAGTAACAAGCAACAAATAGAGACTCGGACGCCGCCAACATGGCAGCCGCATCAGTGATGATGACACGATCACAAGCCCTATACCTGGTACCCGCTCACGTTGAACTTATTGAGTCTCATAGCTGCAAAATCAACCCAAACCAGCAACCTTCCACTACAGAGCTGGGATCAGCTGTTTGGGTTTCTCCTAACGCGCTGCAGTGCATCATGGGTAAAGTCCTACGGTTCAGTCAGATGAAACGTCACCATGAGCCTGATAACTGTGGCCTCTAGGGTCAGAGATGGAGCTCCAGGATTCTTTGTCATTTCTCTGAGTGCTGACCTCTGACCTCAAGGTGAACCTGCTGAGACATCCACTCTTGGGAAGATTGACTGTTGTAGAATGATGAAGTCCGGATAGTTTGAAAATGAACTTTGACCCTTCACAGATCTTCTCTGAGGTCTTTGAACCTTTAAAGTTCATGGGATCCTTCAGATCAGAACATCTGGTGTGATGGTGTGACTCTGCCCTACTGTCATCTGCCTCAAACCTAAAACCGTTTGAGATTTTAAGACACAGATTTAAAATCATCGAGATGAGAGCGGTTGTCATGGAAATAGCTCTCTTCAGCGTGACCCTGGGAGGAGAGAAATGAATAAAACTTTGATGAGTCGATCCTGACTCTCAGAGGATTGTGTGAATAATGATGAGGCCAAGAGGTTTAAAAGATTCATATTTTAATTAACCTTCTTTTCTCCATGTTTGCTTTGCATTTTGTCTCGTTTATTTCCGTCATGAGCTCTGACGCCTCATCTAAACGCGTTAGAGGCCCGAAGAGAAGAGACAACCCGAGGAGGGTTTAAGGGACGAGCGGACCAGAACATCGGAGTTTCCTTTTCAGGGATCAACCCTCAGAGGGTTCACATAAAACACAGGCTGATTTTTTCTGTGGCTTGTTTGTTTGGGAATAGTTTTCTTAATGAGGGGATTAAGCACAGATGTGATTAGCCTAAAATCGCTGGTTTGGTTTAATCAGAATAAAGGACGTCTCCCAGAAGTTTTGATGCGTGTCAACAAACGTTTTGATGAATCCCAGTCTGGTTTGTTTGTTCCTCCATCTTTAGTGGAGTTTTCCCATCTTCCTCCATGAAGCCCATACCAGTGATGAGAGGTGTGAGGAGAAAGGGACGTTGTCTTTGCTCCAGCAGACTTTAAACTAATAAACTATTGGTCAATTTTTTGTTTGAGGGACATTAAATTCAGACTATTTTCCTTTTTGCACTAAAGGATCCGCTTGGTCTCATTTTTACTTCTTTCAGTTTCAGTTTAATTCAGTGATCGTGGTGGAGTTATCTTTCCTCAGTGGAGCAGAACCAATAGTCGGATCTCCTGAAAGCACCAACAGAGAGGATAACTTAAATGAAATCACCTCTGGATTTATAATTCCTTCCAGACTTTGAGGAGATGTAAGGACCACCTGTTAAATGTTCCTCAGATCACAGACAGCAGAAACACCTGAAAGCTGCTCTGCTGTCTGCTGCTCTGTGTCCGCCCTTTAAAACCACCGTGGACCAGTCAGCTGAGTTTTGTTTATTCAGCCAAGCCACCACATCCTCTGGTTCTCCTCTCTTTCTTCATTCCTACTCATCTTCAGAGAAGTCCGTTGCTGCATCAGCTTTCTGACTCGGTCCTGATGTTGCAAACACAAGAATCCTAAAAACAGCTGCCTGTATTCAGTAGTTGTGCATCCTTTCAGGATATTAGTCTCTAATCTTCAGTGCAGAGGTGCTTGACACGCCTTCTCAGCTCCATGTAATCAACCTCAATCATTCCTGCTCAGCTTGCACCGCTGCCGGCTCATGTTCTTTATTCATGTCTGTGTTGCAAATAAAAACAACAAATTCCTACAAAAACCTGCAGAAACATAGCCTATGAGTGTGAACTGTCTGTGGCAGAATTAAACGCGTCATCTTACTGGAGTCAAAACAAAACACTTAGCATAAAATCCAACAAGAGCTTCACAAAGGTTCTGTCGAGTGTGTCAGAATACAAAAGACAAGAAGTGATGCTTTGTTTATTACTTGCATTCGTTAAACCAGCTGCAGTTCTGGAAACCCTGCTTTAAGATAATCCAGGACACCTACAAAGCAACACACAAGATATTCATAAACTATTTACAGAAATGTATGTTTTTACTCATAAAAATGTAAAATAAATGACTTAAATCCTTAGTTTAGATGATAGTTTTCTGCTGTGAGAAAGATGTTGCTGAAGCTGCTCTAACAGGGTTTAAACCCGCAGCATCATTCTATTCAATTCAATTCAGTTCAAAAATACTTTATTAATCCCAGAGGGAAATTGATTGCTGTAGTAGCTCAGAATAATAATAATAATCAAGTCATCAAAGAGTTGTTGTATATTACAACGGCTGTTGGCAGGAAGGATCTCCAGTAGCGGTCAGTGTTGCAGCCAAACTGAAGAAGCCTCTGACTGAAGACACTCTTCCGTTGTCGGACAGTCTCGTGAAGAGAATGCTCAGGGTTGTCCATCATTTTCTTGATTCTCTGGAGAATCCTTCTTCGCATTATCTCCTCCAGCGGTTCCACAGTCGTCCCCAGAACAGAACCAGCCTTTGTTATTAGGCTGTTGAGCCTTTTCAGGTCCCTGCTTCTGATGCTGCTACCCCAACAGACGATGGCTGAAGAGATTACACTCTCAACAACAGACTTGTAGAAGATCTGCAGCATCTTGCTACAGACATTGAAGGACCTAAGCGTCCTCAAGAAGTGCAGTCTGCTGTGTCCCTTCTTGTAAACAGCTTCGCTGTTCTTTCTCCAGTCCAGTCTGTTGTCCAGGTGAACTCCAAGGTATTTGTATTCCTCAACCACCTCCACTTCTTCTCCCATGATGGAAACAGTGTTTGACTCCACCCTGTTTCTTCTGAAGTCTTAAATCATCTCCTTTGTTTTGTTCACGTTCAAGGTCAGATGATTGTTTCCACACCATGCCACAAAGCGCTCCACCAGCTCTCTGTACTCAGCTTCCTGTCCATCTCTGATACACCCGACAACTGCAGAGTCATCTGAGTATTTCTGTGATGGCAGGTCTCTGATTTGTACTGGAAGTCTGAGGTGTACAGGGTGAAAAGGAATGGTGAGAGTACAGTCCACTGTGGTGCTCCAATGTTACTGATCGCCTGGTTTGATGTGCAGTTCTTCAGCCTCACAAACTGTGGCCTGTTTGTCAGGTAGTCTTTAATA